GAACCGATGGAGGCGGTGAATATTCCAGCCAAGAGTTTCAATGCGAGCTGAAGCGTAGTGGAATTGAGTGGGAAGTTACAATTCCCTATACACCACAGGAAGATGGAGTATCAGAAAACAGTAACCGTGTTCTGGTAGGGAAGGCCAATGCTCTTCTACAGCATGCGGGAGCCCCAAGAAGTTATTGGGCAGAAGCTTTGCAGGCTGCCGTGTACCTCAAAAATGTTTCCTTAACAAAGGGTACCCGCGAAAAGGATGTGACACCTTTTGAGTCGTGGTTTGGATCGAAACCAGATCTCAAACATCTAAGGATATGGGGATGTGTGGCCTATTCCTATATCCATCCAGCCAAGCGTTCAGATAAAAAATGGAGTGCACGAGCAGAAAGGCTGATGTTCATCGGATATGCTAAGTCTACCAGGCAATATAGACTCTACAATCCGGCTGCAAAGAAGTTGGTGCTCTCTCGAGATATGGTATTCCATGAAGATACAGCGTACTTTAAACCCATGTAGCAAAAGGTTTTTCTTCCATTTACCAGCAAGACTGAGACTGAAATTCATCCTACCTCGAGATCACGATCACAAATGCCTCCGTCTCCCGATACACCACTACCGCCACTATCACCACCATCATCTCCGAAGCATGTATAACCCTCCTCGGAATCGGAAGTCTAGATGCCATCAAGTGGACCACCGGAGAAGACTCCGAATACCAGTCAAGATGATGGTTTGATAAAGGAGATTCAGAGCAGTTTGGGACCATTCTGGAATGTACGAGAGGGGCGTAGAAGGAAACGAGATGAGCAGTCTCAACCGCAGAGTATGTGGCAGAGAAAAACTATTAGAGCAGAGAAGAATCAGGAGCTAGATGAAGAAGCAGAGATGGAGGAAAGAAGTGGAAGTAGAGATGAAGAAAATACTGGTGGTGAGGAAGATGTTACGAAGGTGGTAACAGACGCGGACTATACATTCATGGCTGCAAATGGACCAGAATCGATTACAGCTGCTTTGACAGGAGCAGACAAGACGGAGTGGATCGACGCGATCAAGTCAGAGCTGGAGTCCTTGGAAGCCCATGATACGTGGTCAGTGGTACAAACGAGGAAAGATGAGATTAAAAGTTTGAGAACAATCTCATCAAGAATGGTACTACAGGAAAAACTGGGTGAGGATGGACAGATAACACACTACAAAGCTCGTTTGGTTGCCCACGGTTTTCGACAGCATCCCGGAGTCAATTTCATTGAAACGTATAGTCCAACAATCTCTTTTCCTGCGATTCGAATGGTCTTATCAAAAGCTGCAGTCGAAGACAAGGAGATCGTACAACTTGACATTGTAACTGCCTTTCTGGAAAGCACAATCGAAGAGGAGATCTACCTGCAATTACCAAAGGAGTTTGGTGTCTCCGCAGAGGGAAAAGTCATTCTCCGAGAGCTGGAAGGTGGTTGTCCTACTGGCACAGAGGTCCAAAACACGATTGTTCGTCTAAAGAAAAGTTTGTATGGCCTCAAACAAGCAGGCTGTAACTGGTACAACACTCTCGAGTTGCACCTCAAAAATTGCCTAAAAATGGTGAGCTCAAAGTTTGATGGTGGAATCTATTGAATGAAGTCTGGGGCAACCATTATTGTTTGGGTTGATGATATGCTCCTAATTGGAAGTCGAGCTGAAGTTGAGTGGATGAAGGCTGCAATTAGTGAGCGATTCCAAGTCAAGGATCTTGGAAATGTGAAATTTTTCCTGAGCATGCTCGTGGAAAGAGACCGCGAAAAGAAGCAAATTTACATCAGTCAAAGTGCATACCTCAAAAGTGTGCTACGGAAGTTTGGTATGGAGAATTGCAAGCGGTGTCCTACGCCAATGGATCTAAAGTGCAAACTTCATGAGCGCCTGAATGAGGAAGAAGCTGTGGAAAAACAGCAGTATCAAGAAGCTGTTGGATGTCTAATCTATGCAAGCATTACGACTAGGCCTGATATTGCGTATGTGAGTGCAATGGTTGGCCGATTTTCCTCAAACCCTTCAATATTGCACTGGACAGCAATTAAAAGAATTCTGCGCTATCTACGTCACACAGAACAGCTACGTCTTTGTCTGGGAAAGAAGAGCAATGGGAGCATTGGGGGAGTAAGCAGGAGCTTAGAAAATGCTCCAATTGTGGTTTACGCAGATGCTGACTTCGCGGGTGAGGTCAATGGTATGAGATCTACCAGTGGATTCACCATATTTGACCAATATGGATCAGTTATTCATTGGAAGTCCCAAAGGCAAAAGACGGTGGCCAAGTCGACTGCCGATGCAGAATTCAATGCAACTGCGCTTGCTACAGAGGAGGCAATCTGGCTGGAGAAGTTACAGAGAGAGCTGGGTGGAAAAGGAAGTAAAGGAGAAAAGGAGGTTTTGGTATCAGTATTTAATGATAACTAAGCATGTATTGCCAGCCTTCAGAATGGGCTATTCAAACCTTCCACCCGGCATGTGGGTGTGAAGTACTTCTGGTTGCGGGAGTTGGTAAGAGAGGGTGATGTGGAGATTTCTTGTCAGGACTGATAAAATGGTTGCTGATGGGCTCACGAAGGGGTTGGAGCGGAAGAAGCATCAGAACTTTGTGGAAATGCTATCGCTTTTATTTTAATTTGTTTTTCTTTAAAGACTTTACGCGATTGATGTAGTTTTATAGAAATGTTTGTTTGTTTGTTTTTTGGGGAGATAAAAAGTGTTTTTTCTTGTTTTCTACACAGTTAGGGACGATGGGATTAGTCGGAGTGATGGAGTAATCCCATCATATCATATGGTATTAGGGTATGCTGACTTGAGTGGATTTGTCCTCCTGTTTAGCAGGACTGTCATTTCTATGTTTTGCACAGTGGTTAGCCCTTGGTGTGAGGAGCTACCACCAGGTGTTCTTAGTTTGCTTTCCTTTGTTTTCTTTCTGGAGATAGATCGTTCATAATCCATCTCCACTCCTCAAGGTTTCTGTGCTGTTTCTCACCAGTGCGTTCTGCAACGCCACCTCAGTATCCTCCACCCTCCGGTGTTTCCATTCAGTCAGTATTCCTCTGCGCATTCAGTTCTCTACGGAAAAGTGTTGCCATCATATATAAACATATCTACCATATAATCACCATCACATCCCTGTGAGTACCGCACACCAACACATGTGGTGCATGACCTCCCTTCACGTGAGTCCAATGTCCTTTCCGGTAACTCTCTCATCCTCCGAGGTTCTCGATACTCGACACCCGGTGTAGGTCAATCGCGAGATGAACCTGAGTTATTGACAAACCACTAAAGACCACCGAAGACCACCGGAGACATCCATGAAACACAACGTAAGACAACACTAGGTTACTAGTACAGAAAGAGACAACAATAATACATCCGACCCACCACATCAACAACTACATCCTCTTGGCCAATATCCTAGCACCCTTGACGAGAATGAGTACCGGCGATTTTTAATACCTTTGTGGGAGGTGCTTCTTCCGGTTGACTTTGCCAGGTTGGTTAGCACCCGGAGGGGGAGTATTATTGGGGCTATGAATCTTTGTGGCAGCGTATGAGAGGGCTGGGAAGAAAGGAGGATTTGTAGGTGGTGAAGAGCACGCGACAGGCCAATTCCCGAGACCATGGGTTTGGTATTGAGGCCTTTGGCTGTGTCATCTTCCATCCTAGCAACCAGGGGCCTTCGCATCGTGGCTTCTGATGTCGTTGATTTGGCGGGTTGGGTGGAGGAGTCTTCCGAAGCTAGTAGTGATGAGGGGGATTTCTTCTGATCCTCTTCTGCCTTCTTGAGAATAACCACCACCTCCTCCAACCCCACCGAAATACTCAAATCAAACCTCGATATTAATGGTATGACCAACACCCTCTCTCCTGTCTTCAATCCCCCCCACTTTCCTTCCTAGGACGTCCGACATTGCAGACCGGGCTGCCCACAGCATCAGCACGTCCTCCGAATTCGAAGGCTCCGGCAGTTCAGCACGGACTTTAGAAAAGTACTCCACCGCATTTGCCGAGCTGGGGACAGCGCACGTGATCTTGGAATCGTTACTCAGTGCCTCCAGGGAAAAGTTTGGAGGTATTGAGGGGGAAGAATCCACGGGAGCGTTGGTCGACAGGGGCAGGTTAATTATATGGCGGAGAGAGTTGGCGTCTGAACAGGGCGAGGGAGAGCATCTTCGCAGGTGGTTCTGAAGACAGGGGGTGTCAAAGGAGCTAACAGCGAGAGGAGAGGGAGAAAGTGTGGTGTTCGCATACTGGAAAACGAGGCATTAGCATTCGAGCGACTATCAATGAAGATTGGATTGGGGAGAACCCGTCAATCAAGATCCGAAACTTCTCCCCCCATTCCCGCGTATCCCTGTTTGGGATAGAAGGGGAATTCAGAACACAAGGCGATCACGTCCCACCAAAACCTGTTCGCCCGCCCTTCGCAGCAAATCTCCCTCGCCCGCGACATCCTCCCCCCCGAGCGACTCCTCTGATCTCCAACGACAAGTCCAATGACTCCACATCCTTACTGTTCTGCACCTCCTCCACCCCCCCTCCGCCATCCCATTACAACCCTGGCCAATGCACCGGTGCTCGTCCATCGTTCGATTGGGATCACAACACCGTAAGCCAAGGACGGGTACACCCCTTCCAGCACGACCAGGTCCAGTAGACATATTATCACTCTAACTTCCGCAGGACTAACTAACTATGTTCAGGTCCGCTCCATGTTTGTCTACGTTTGCACTTGGCATTCGAGGTTCGCAAGGAGGGTGAGTGTGTGGGTTACGACTGACACTGCGGTGGATCTTTCATCCTGGGTAGTGGTGGCAGTGACGGGAGTGCTTGAAGGAGTCGGTGGATGAGTGATTGGTCGAGTGGATTTGGTTTAGCTATGGCGAACCTATCCGTGACCAATAGGCGATGGTAGATTTAACGGATTAATTGGATACTATTCTGTTACAGTTGGTTTACCACTGTCACATGGGTCGGACAAAAGATGTAGCATCAAAGTCTTAAGATTTGATTCATTCTGATAACTTTTTTTAAAAAAAAGCCTACCCAGCCACCCGTGATTCCGCACTACCTAAATTAGCATAATCAATTAGAACAGATGACAACCAAGGCATCATCTTACCCCAAAGGCAATTAGCCCCCCCGCTCTCAATGCACTTCCCACAATTGCCCAAGACTTCCGACGCTGCCTTGCCTCTTTTCAAGTCGTCAATCATCAGGAGGGGTGCGTTCTCAGCGATTGCTCGCGTCAATCTAATCTCCTTCGTAAGAGGCACCTCGACGGCTCGAGCTTGGTGGCTGGTATCGCCTAGTTCGGTTTGAATTTTGTCAAGTTTGTCGATGTGGTGCCGAGCGTCGCTCCGATGGAGTAGATCCATTGCAAACAGCAAAGTACCAAGGTCGTAGAAAGGGCTCCACTGTGTTCAAGGGCTTTTTCTAAATGAAATTGATTTAACAGCTATCAAACGAGTATTAGATAAATGGATATACTTACGGAGAAAAGGTGCGGACATCTTTGCAGTCAGTATTAGTGAGAGATGAATGATAGATAGATGATCAGAGATGCAGGTGCGGGAAATAGGAGTATAAAGGGAAATACTTTGCAAGGGTACTCGAGTGCTGGGGTATGGACGTGGGTGACCGGACAACTAGGGATTAGTGTCAAAGCTTCTTGCGTGTTTGAGCAATTAAGATGCCAGATTTATTCCTTCATTTCCTATGAGGGTAGGAAGGTCAGGCCTCTAGAATCCCACGCTGTCCGGTATCCCACGTCCATACCCAAGAACAGTGTTGGCTCATTGGGAGCATGGCTAATCCATTCTGAAGCATGGGTGATGCTTCGATACCGTACTCGTAGGATGATCGCTGGATGTTTGTGCACTCGTCGTAGGGTGACGTAAGTGAACACGACTACTATTGGGTCGTGAAATTTTGGCCGCCATCGCCTTTGGAGTACTACAAAAATAGGGGGGGGACCGCTTCCATCCTCGATCCAACCACACTCTGTCTTTTCCCTCCACCGTCAGAAGCTCTTCCTCTCCTGTTCCCCTAAATTATTCCCTATTCCCCTCTTTCCCCCTTTCCCCCTTCACTTGGTCACTTGTTCCCCCCCACCCCCCGTCCCTGTTTATATGAGGATCGCTATTCGCCCCCACCTGGTTCAGCGCTTGCGCGTTGTGAGACCATTCCCCCTTCACTCGAGAAGGCTCACGTACCCGAGGGCATCACTACGAAATGTCGGCACCTCCCCGACTAAAAACCGGCTGGTATGTATCACTACCTAGGTATCACTACCAACCTAGCTTCGGGCAACGGTTGTAGTGGGAGCGACTTTCAAAGGCGGAAAGCCAGTTTGAGGGCATTGCAAAGGTTTCGTTCTCATATTGAATCTAGTGCATAGCCTACTTACCTTAGTTTTAGGAGATCCGTGACCGAGAAATTACCATTCGAGAGATGATAGGTCGCCTAGAAACTCGTGTAGAAATCATCAGGGAAGGGATGTCCTATTTGAAATGGGAACTGGGGGCCCTGGGGACGCTCGATCTCCTCTCCCTGAGCGTAAGTTTTGGTCACTCATGAATTTAAACACTTACCGGCTCTGATATAATAACTTGTAGTTTATTGGATACATGCAAGATCAATTTCTCAAGGTCCAACTGCCCTAATCATCCGTGGCGTTCTCTCTGAGGGATTTGTGGTAAGACCAACTAAGAAATCGTATGATGGCATGTTGCTAACGAGAAACCAGCAAACCGAGCAGGGTCTACTCGTGCCAAGGTTGCAGCGGCCTAGCGCTGCAACCCCCAAAACTTCGCTAGCTCAGCTTTCCGGGGCACTCATCCTGAGCACCCGACAGCTCAATGAAAGATTGCAGCTCAAGGATAGATTGTGGCTCAATACAATTTTGTGGCTCAACAACACATTGTGGCTCAACATGAGTTTGCAACTCCATACAATTTTGTGACTCAAAGGCAGTTCAAGGCTCAATGACAGTCTATAACTCAATGATAGCCTATAGCTCAAAGACAGTCTATGACTTAATATAATTTTGTAATTCAATATTATTACTTCAAGACATTAAAAAAATGTTCTGAGTATAAAGTATTTAAATAGTTCCATGTAGTATTACTTTGAAAACCAAACTCTATCATTGTGACCTCAAACTCCATTTACATATCAATCAGTTATGTCTTCTTCATCTGCTCTCATTCCTCCAAATCAAAGTGTGGAGCCATGTCATAATATTGAAGTTCGGATCCAGGCTGCAATTACCTTCCTCCATGAGACTGGAGAAGATACACTCGATATTGCTACGCTAGCTTGCAGGTATGATGTTCTGGAGTAGTGATTACCCAAATGGCAGCAACTTCAAGGTCAATAATATGGACAACAACCAGCAGCCAATCAAAAACTTACAAAAAACCAAGAACTGGCTGTTTGTCAATATCTAGATTGTTTAGATAATATTGGTAGTTGTGCACAATTGCCAATGGTCATTGGATATACAAATATGATTCTGCAAAATACACATACCAGACTACTTCCTCTACCTAATATGGGTAAACATTGGGCAAGACAATTTCTCAAACATTGTCCCAATTACTTTATTTGAAAGCAATACACCATTCATATTGATTCAAAAAGCATACACTATCATGATAATATTTGTAAATAGTTTGCCAAATATATTACTGTATATCAAAGGTACATGATACACAACTGCAATAAATACAACTTCAAAGAAACAGGTTTCCATATCAGCATCAGTGGTGACCAGTGGATTATTACCAGAGATCCAAATAGACAAGCATATATGAGTAGTTCAACTAATCAGGAACTAGTTTCTGTTTGCAAAATGATGAGTGCTGCTGGATTTGTTTTACAACCTATGATGATTGTTCTGGATGTTATTCATCAAGAACCATGGTATACAATGATGTCTACACCTGATGACTACCTTGTTGGCATGTTAGATACTTTTGAATGAGTGGTGGAATGGTAGTAGCAATGGCTCTAGCAAAGGTGAATGAACAGGAGTCATAGCAATGGGCCAATCAGAAACCAGCCACTGCAAGTAATGGGCTGTAAAATGAAACAATGCCAACTCACTGTCACAAACCGTGACTAAGCAAAGCAGATTTCACATAACTCAGAATTCTGAGTTATAAGTATGTTGGATTTCACATGACGCACACTAGTGCATCATAGGTTGTTATGTTTATTTGTTTGTGACTCACAGTTGTGCGTCACATAATGTTATGATTTTTCGCACATGACTCAGATTATGAGTCATGGGTTTTACTCAGGTGACACGAGTTGCGCACTTGATTGGATTGTTATGTTCTGAATGGTTTAAGGTATGTTGCGCAGTGACTCATAGGAGTCAGCTGATGGATTTTACATGACTCATAGTTATGAGTCACAGGGTTTGCATGATGCAAGGTATGAGTCACACTGGGTGAAGAGCGTGTAGATAAGGAGCCTGAGTCACTAGGACACCGCGTAGGAGCTCTTCACACCTTCTTCTAGTTTATTTCCCAACTTTATGTTTTTGGAAAATAAAATCTACCTTTATGCTCTTTAACCTTTATATTACCTTAAGTGAGAAAAACTATCTCTCGTCCCACAACCCACGATTAAGTCCTACGCCAGGACTTATAAAGATCAGAGGAATAGGCGCAAGGAGATAAAAGTCCGAGGACTTAACTATCAGTATCGCGTGGGTGACAACCTAAGAACTGTGCCATCGCTACCACCTAAAGATCATTACCTGTTGCACTCCCACGACCGGTAGGATTCTTAACATCAGAATGTGTCTACAACGCGACACTTAACGATTTCACAACGGATCCCTTTAACACAGATCACGAAGCGGACTTGGACCTCCAGGACGAAAGTTTAAGATTAGGAGAACTGGAAGAAGCATTAAGCAAAGCAAGTTGACACTCAGCAAGAGTAATAAGTTCAGTTACACCTGAAAGAACTACCCCACCAATCGAAGAAGAAACACCCGACACTCCGAGGCCCGAAAGTATTTCTGGACGCCCTCCACCCCGAGGACCGCCACCAGCGGGAGCAGTACCCCCAACAATGTTTTTACAAAAACAAGTGGAACAAATCCTAAGGGAAGCAACTCCAGGTGGATGACAGAAACCAAAAGTCAACTCCCCGCCACGATACGATGGAGAAAGGAGCAAACTACAAGGGTTCATAGTCCAACTCCTTACCTACTTCGATGCAGTAGGATGGTCGCAAGGAAATGACAAAGACAAAATCCGATATACTTTGATACTATTAGAAGGAACAGCCCTAAAATGGGTAACCCCTATAGTAGTTAGTCAGGCTCCAGTGCCATAGACTAATTGGATCACTTTCAAAAACATATTTGAGGCCCAATTCACCAATGTAGAATGAAGCCAATCAGCATGCAACAAATTAGAGGAAATTCTGCAAGGGATGCGGAACGTCACTGACTACTAAGGCGAGTTCAGGCTGCTCCAGTACCATGCCGATTGTGCCGAAGCCTCAGCAATGAGATGGTTCATGAAGGGTCTGAAAAGGACGTACCAAAATGCATGGAGATTTAGTCAAGAAAGATTCACAACTACAGAAGCAATGGCCAATTGGGCCATCCGAAAAGAGATTCAGTTCGGACAATTGGACTGGATTCCAAAACATCAACCAACCAGAACCCAAAGCAATAACACAAACCTCAGAAACCCAGGGTCACCACAAAACCAGAATAGGACGTTTAGAACGACTACTCAGGGAGGCGATGCTATAGACTTGGATGCCACTAGGAGGAGCCCATTGTGGAATCTTCTAATTCCTTTCTTATGTATATTCTTATTGATAATATCGTATATTCCTCTACTTGGTATTATTTCTAATCACAGACATTACTACAGCTGGAGTATGTATTACGTATGTTTCATTTGATATTTCATAATACGATTAGGGGATTATGGTGTGCTTTTCTTATCTGATGTGCGGGTTTATTTCTTACATTTTATGCATCATCATGCATGGTCATCAGTCATTTGATTTACAATTATGTTCTAATTATCCGTTCACACCACCTTAGATTTAGGCATGTTTCATGAGATTTTATTAGCAGTTCTTTAGGGTCAACCATGTTCGCACTTATGTTTTTCCTACTTATGTTACGGTCAAACACGTCAATACTTATGTTTTCTCTTATATTTCCTCTTACTTATAGGAAGGATACGCACCTGTATAAATAGGGGTTACCACCCATCTCGCTTAAGAGAATTAAGGACAAGAACTACTACCAATCTACCTTCATACAAAAATTCTCCTCGCTTAATGTGCCTGCGATATACTCTTTTTATCGTATTGTATTTTCATACAAAGTTATTAAGATAGTGCCGTACCGTACACATTTGAACAGCCATCCTTAATCTGTCTAAAGAAGAGTACCTCAGTCACTAAAACAACAATCTATGCCTAAAATGTGGCATCTCAGGATACATGATCAAAGAATCCAGATGAGCTGCGAACCCAGGAACGACCCAAGGAAAAGATATCAGGACCACTAGGTCCAACAACAAGTTCCAACCCTGCAGCAATATCAGAGAGATTGAAATAGAGGACAAATGCAAGGAAGTGGCAAAAGACGAAGGTTTCCAGCATTAGATGGTCTGCGGGACCTACCGAAAGACAAACCCATCTCTTTGGCCAATTACTATACCATATTAGGAACGATGAACGACGACAATGATCATATCATGATCAAAAACAAAAATATATAGCCACA